CTGCCCATGCTCCTGCCCACCCCCGGCCTCCTTACCAGGCGGGGTTCAGGGGCGGAGCTCCGCGCCGAGCCAGGGTTCCCAGATTTCCTTCCTGCCGCCTCTCAGCCGGAGCAGGTGTGAGTGGCAGGTGTGCGCTGGCCTTATTTGTCTCCACACACATACAGAAGCGATGTGTTCTGAAGTGTAGAACTGTGACCCCACAAAGGGCTGGACGACCGGTGTCCACCAGGCAGAGCCTGGCTCCAAGTGGGCGGGGCTTCAGAGACCTGCCCTTTCCATACTGCCTAGCACCCACATTTAAGTTTGGGTGGCTTTCCATTCCAAAGTTCATTCCTAGTTTTTTTAAGCAGTATAGCATCGTACCTGTAGATGCTATAAAAACTAAATATTCGAGCAGCAGCACTCAGCTGTACGTGTTTATTCTCAAAGATGGCTCCCTGAACACTTGACCCAGGAACAGGGCGGTGACTTGGAGCCAGTCTCCCCTCCCCTTCCCCCTCGGGGGTGGGTCCCCTTCACTCCCCACTTCAGGGCGAGGGGACCCGCGCCATCGCCGTCTCAGGGCCTTCAGTCCTACCATAATCTCTGTCCTGTGCCGTCACGCTCTGCCCCCATGTCCCCTGCCTTTTCCGTCACCCGTGTCGGGAAGGAAAAGCTCTGAACCCAGCATCACCCTTGCATCGCTCCCGTCACCACAAAAAGCACTTCTGGCACCTCCTCTTCTCCCATCTGCTCCTGCTTTTTCAAAAAGATACAGAATCAGTGCACATATTTTATATTATATACAAGGTCTGTCCAGAGAAACTCCAGCCGTTAACACAATGAGAACAATATGCACAGCATGGATGTGACCAGGCAGCCGAGGAGAGTGGACTGGATTGCACACGTGTGAGCAATGACGACGTCACTGTACCAGTCATGGGGGGGTGGCGGTAGACACCACTGAGTGAGCGTGTGCATTGCACGGCCGTTGCATTCAAAATGACTGAGCGAGTAGAGCAACGAATCTGCATCAAATTTTGTGTTAACCTTGAACTTACCCTTTGTAAACTATCTGGAGGATTCAGAAGGCCACACCTGCGGGCAGCTGGTGATTGGCAGCTTCATCACGACAACACGCCCACTCATGCATCACTTCTTGTGCAGAGATTTTTGGTGAAACATCAGATCATCCAGGTGACTCATCCCCAGTACAGCCCAGATTTGGTGCCCTGTGACTTCTGGCTTTTCCCAAAACTAAAATCACCTTTGGAAGGGGAGAGATTTCAGACCATTGATGAGGTTCAGGAAAATATGGCAGGGAAGCTGATGGTGACTGGGAGAAGAACTGTGTGAGGTCCCGAGGTGCCTACTTTGAAGGGGACTGAGGTGTCATTGTCCTGTGTACAGTGTTTCTTGTAACTTGTATCTTCAATAAATGTCTCTAGTTTTCATAGTACATGGTTGGCTGCCTCTTGGACAGTCCTCATATATAAAATCAAGGATGAGATACTGAACACACCACACTCCGCCATCCAGTGCTCACTGTTACTACCACAGTGTCTGTCTTTCAGGTGGTTTTCTGTGGACGCACACACACCTTCATGTCACACATAGTCACGAATGTCCCCTCATGGATTTTTGTACAAGCAACCAGATTGTCTCATGTCTGCACACTCACATATGTGAGGTACATGCATGTACTTTATAGACAAAGCCACGAGTACATTTTCAGAAATACTTCATCAACTGTGGCATGTTGGTGCTTCCAAGCAGCTCCCACTCAGGTAGATGTGCCCACACGACTTCAGGGAAACCTACTAAAGAATCGGGGTGCGTGTGGGGGCACCTGCCTGTGTGTGTGATGTGACTGACGGCACTGTGGGGAGGAAGACGGAGTGCGGTGGCCATCCGAACGCAGCCCCAGAAACTGGAGGGTTGGGCGGATGGGAAAGCAAAGATCTGCGAGACCGGGTGGAAAGCCCCCGCTGTCGAATGTGGACTCAGAGAGCATCACACCCAACAGGTAAATTCCTTCTGATCACACCCGGAACTTACAGGGAAACTGCTTTGTGCCTGGCTACAGAGGACCCTTCGTACAGTCCACAGTCTACAATGTGAAACTGTTTTTCTTTGACAATGCAGTAAAGTCCCATAAAATTAGAAAGGATCTCACACATCAGGGCTAAGCAACACACTGTGAGGAATCTGGGTGAAAGAAAGAGGCAATCAATCATAAGGAAAATTATGAAATTCCTGAAAGTGCATGATGTCAAAAACACTTCATGCTAAATTCGGTAGGACCCAGCTGAGGCTTAAACACACACAAGAAATAAGAGATTTTTAAGAGTCCAGCGTTCAGCTCCGGAGGTTGCCACCAGAGCGAGAGAGCCAGCCCGAGACACAACAGAGGAGGGATGACAGAGAAAAGGACAGGGACAAGGAAGTAGGAAAAAAAAAAAAGATGAACAACAAGACAGACAAACCTCTGGCAATACTGATCAAGAAACAGAATATGCACATCACAGGCAAAGCGGAAAAGCAAAGAAACTGTGAACAGAAAATGTACAGTATTGTAACTAATGAGATCATCTGCAAACAGCAGATAAGTGTTCGTACAGAGCCCTGAAATGCTCTAGGAAAAGATGATGACAGCAAGCACGTCGTGCGTATGAACTTACTCATTCCTCTCCATAGTCCCCCGGGGCCGAGAGCTTCTCCTCCACAGGGGGTTGGGGACATGAGACAGAAGAGAAGACAAGTGCCCACAGCCACGTGGGCAGAGGCGAGCCCTGAGGCCATGGGCCAGTGCCCAGCCCTATATGCTCTGGGCTACCACGTGTTCCAGGTGGCCTCCAGACAACCCGCAGGGACCTGTGGCCATCAGAGGAAGGGTGGGGTTAATCAATGCCTGCCCTGCCCCTGGACACTCTCCAGGGCACATCGATCTTATAAGTCAGTTTTTACTAAACTTTCAAGAAACAGACAAACCTTATCTCATCCAAGATTGTCAAGTCACCCGACCCAGTCTAGGGGGCTGCTACAATTTTTTCCTTTTTAATTCTCATTTGAGGACATGTTCATTGATTTTTAGATAGCTAGCTAGGGAGGGCGGTGTGGGAGAGAGAGACATCGATGGGAGAGACATTGGCCTGCCACCTCCCATACACACCCAAACCAGGAATCAAACCTGCAACCCAGGTATGTGGATGTGCGCCCTGACCAGGTGTCAAACTGACGACCTTTTGGTATATGGGATGGGGCTCCAGCTAACTGAGCCACCTGGCCAGGATGAGGCTGCTATAATTTTTATTCCAAAATTGGATAAAGACAGATGCTAACTGAATCCAATGTTGTATGGTCTATTCCAAAATGCAAGGATGACTCAACACAACTGTTTCAATAAATAACCTTTTGGGGGTTTTTTAAATGCTCAGAAAACTCTGAATAGAAGGAACTTCCTTTCGGGAGCGGGAGGCTTATTCCAGGAAGAGCAGGAGGAGGCCGCAAATGTCAAATGTCTCCAAGCCAGCTGTGGCTGGGGACCAGGCAGATCAGGGGAAGGTTGCTTTCCTGTGTGTGTGGGTGCACGCTCGCGTGTGCATATGTGAGTCCGCCTGGTATGCAGCCGACCCGGAGCAATTAGGGCTGTAGCTTCGTGCAGCGAGAGTGCACGGGGCTCATTCACTGGCCCCCGCCAAATGGTGCTGGGCACCAGGGACTGGACACAGTGCGTGTGGAACCCCGGCCTGCAGAGCCGGGGGGGTCTAGAAACCGCCAGCGGCCTGCAGAGACCCTGCAGCCTCCGTGCAAAGCGGAAGGCACCCCTTCGCGGGAGGACCCTGTCGGGACCCCTCAGCCGGGCCGTGATGCTCGCTCCCAGGCACCACTCCCGTCCCCTCTTTCCTTCACCCAGCTTCAGGCCGTTCGTGCACTGTCTACTGCCCCTGAGCGCTCCTGAACCATAAATAAGATGCACGTGCCGCCTCTGGGGCCCTCCCTCCATGGCTTCGACCAAGAACTTAATCCAACTGAGCTGACAACTAAGGACGGGAAGTTGCCTGGGTGAAGGTGGATCTAATTCTGCAGACTTCGTCCCCAGAAAGTGGGTCAGCTCTGTCCCTCCTCCTCTCGTCCATCACCACCCTGCCTGCACCCGGTCCTCTCTCACGAGGACAGTGGCTGGAGTAGCCGGAAAGGCGTCCTGGCTCCCACGCTGGTCCAGCTACCGCCAGCCCTTGTCCCTCCCTGGAAGGAGCCTCCTCGGATGCAGCTGTGACCACCGTGTCTCACGCACACCTGCGCACTGCACACTGCTCACACACACCTTCACTTGCACATCATCGGGTGGCAGGCCTCACACTTAGGACATCTGGAACCTCGACCGCACTCTGCTTTTCCTGCCGGGTCGATCCTAAACAGTCGAGGGTTGTTGGTGGTGATGATGGTACCAGTGCTCAAGATGCAGATTCCCGGGCCCCGCCCAGACCCTTGAGTCCGAGGTCGTCTCAGAGCCTCAGCGCATCTGCGCTGTAAACGAGCTCCCGGGGGAACTGGATTCCTGGGCCTGCCCTCCCCCCACGCCCCAGGCCGGGCGCTGGGGTGGGGGTGGGGTCGTAGTCGCCCCTGCAAATCACAGCTGAATGACCACGTCAGGACGCCAGCCCAGAGGAACGGCCAGAGCCTAGCCCTGAGGCAAAAGGGTACCTGGGAGTCCAGTCAGTGGGGGATTAGTTTGGGTGCAAAGTCAGGGAGGAGCCGTGCTCAGGGCGCGGAGGTGGGAGGCGAGCCACAGCCGAGGGCCCTAAACTCGGGACGCTTGCCCTTGACCCCTAGGCCTGGAGCAGGTGAGGCTGGTGGGCAGGGCCTCTGAGGCTCCCCCAGCTGCAGCTGGGGCGCGGGAAGGGCGCCGCAGCCCCACCCCGCCGGCGCGCCCCGCACGCCCCAACGTGTGGCCGCCAGGGGGCGCCGCGCTGCTCGGCCGTCAGAGCGCGGCGGGCTGCGCCGGGGAGCCGCGGCAGCGGGCCGCCCCAGGTTCCCCGGTAGCGGGAGCAGCAGGCGCTGCCCATGGGCCGGGCCCGGGGTCCGGGCGCGCCGGGAGCCGGTGAGTTGGGGCGCGGCCGGGCGAGACGCGGGCGCTGCAGGCCGGGAGGGGCGGCGGCGGTGGCGGCGGCGGGCCGGGGGGTCGGGACACAGAGGTGCGGGCAGCGAGCCCGGGGGCGCGAGGCCTGACTCTGGGCACAGGTGCACGCACGGCCGGCACTGCGCGGTTGCCCGCCCGCGGGCCCGGGGGCGCGGCGGGGGGCGGGGCTGCGCGGCACGGGTATGGGCGCCGGGCGCGGGGCGCCTGCGGGCCGGGACCCGCGGAGGACACACCCCCGGTAGCGCGGGGAGAGGCCGCGCCCCTGGGCGCGAGGAGCGGGCGTCTTCAAGAACTGGGGCACTAGAAAAGCCAGCCTGGACCCAAGGCCTTCACCCGCCCTGGGCCTCAGTTTCCCGGTCTCTGAAATGGGACCGACCGGGCTGACCTGCCGGGTGCGTGTGGAGTGGGGGAACGGCCTTGTCCGGGCGGCCGGGGGCACATGGGGCTGCTGTTTGCAGCTGGGGTCGACGGAGGAAAGGACCGATGCCGCCATCAGAGCGCCCGAGAGCCGCGGCCAGCTCCAGTTCTGGGCGTGTCCCCCGCGCAGGGAGAGCGCGCGGGCTCGGGCACCCCGGTCCCCCTTCTCTCTGTGCAGGCGGGGACAGGGGTGCCGGGTCCCACCCCTGCTCAGTGTGGGGGAGCGTGCCCAGAAGGGGCAGGGCACTTTGGGGTTTGGAGGGGGTCACCCCGCATCCTCCGCCTACTGGCCACGGTGAGGCAGGCAGGCGTTTGGCTGAGCTTCAGTAGTCGAGAAGTGCTCCGGGAAGGTTTACCTGCCTGGGAGGTGCGGTGTCCCCCCCCTTAGAGCGAAGTAACTGAGGCTTAGAGAGGTGACAGGACTTGTTCAAGGTCTCAGGACCAGGACGTGGCAAATCGGGGGGGGGGGGGGCTTTGACTGGGGCAGAACTGGCGACTCGGAGAGGCCTGACCCGGAGAGACCTGCAGTCGGTCGCGGAGCTGACAGGAAGGGTGGGATGGGGGGGGGGGGGCGGCGGATGGGCCACTGATCGGGGAAAACCCGGGGTTGTGCAGAGGGTGAGTGCCAGGAAGAAAATAAAACAGGGCAATTGGGGTAGAGGCAGAACCTTAGTCTAACCCGGGACGGTGGCCCTGAGCAGTAGTGACCCCTGGCTGCAAGGTGACTGGAAGGGTCTGAGGGAACCTCAGCTGGGTGGCCCCAGAGGCAGGCCCGGCTGCTGGGTGGAAAGAATTGCAAGAGCCAGGGAGGGGGGCTGTGGGGTGTGGATTTCCTCGGGTGCCTGCGAAGCATTGGAAGGGGTTCACATTTGAGGACAGAAAGGAGGCCCCTGTGGTGCAGGGGGAGGAGAGGAGCCACCAACAGGCTGCCCCTATTTGGGGTCCAACCCAAGGCCCTGCAGCCACAGGGCCCGGCTGGCCAGGGGGACAGGGTCTCCTGCAAGGGATCTCCAGCAGTGGTGGACGGGGGAGCCCTGCCCCTCTCCCTGCACCCTCCCGGTGCCCAGCAGCTGAGGGAGCACTTTTGTAGAGTTTGCAAAGATTGGGGCTGGCTGTTTCGGCAAGTCTGTGTCCTCTGGACACGTTTCCCCATTGTCCCGTCGCTCCAGCCCTCTCTTGCACTTTGACCCCCGAGGAAGGCACAGCCCTTCCTCGGAGGAGCCCCAGCACCTGTCCATGGGGTGGGGCTCAGAAGCCAGGGTCTGCGCCTTACTTGTGCTTCTTGCTGCCTTGGCGCCTTCTCAGTGGACTGAGGCCAAAAACCTTTTTTTTTTTTAAATCAAAGGTTCAATATACCCATTTCCTTTCTCCCACAGTAAGAGCCTGGTTTACCAAAACATCAATGTGTTTAATCATTTGCTTCGTCTTAGAATGCACCCAAAATGATTTCTGACTCTGCATCCAAATCAGTACCAACCAAACCCGATTCGGTCAAGTTCAGGATTTCCTGGGGTAGTTGGCACAGTGTGTTACCAGTCTGATGTGCCATTAGCTTCCTCTGTTTCTCTTTGCACACAGTTTGGTTTCCCCCCTTTTACTTTTTCACTGTAACTTCATTTGTCGAATACAAGTCCCCATCTCTTCCTCCTTGTTCCCACATTGTGGGTAACCATTTGAAATATGGTTTTTAATCTTTCCTGGTTTTCTTTGCCGCACAAGCCATTTATTTACACTATCACAAAGGTAGCACACACATCTCCCCCGCACCTTGCCGTCTTCACATCCAACTCCCTTCCCAGCGGCTCACAGAGCCTTTCTTCACTCCGCTGTGTGGCCACATGAGTGCCCCTCAGTGGCTGTGCTGTGCTTGTCCAGCTGTGGCATGCGGATCCAGGTTCAGCTCCTTCCAGGCCTTTGTTGTTAAAAATCATAAAGCAACGGATAACCTTGCACTACATAGGTTGTTTGTATTTCCGGAGGTGTGTCTTTAATTCCTGGAAGTAGAAGTAAATGTGGACTTATTTCGGTGGCTGTTCCCAAGTTCCCTTGCCCCATAGTCTGTGCTCCCATCAGGGTAAGGGCCAGTGCCTGCTGCCCTCCCTGCTGCTGCCTCTGAGAGCCAGAAAAGAGCCTCTCCACACATCTTTTAAAAGTATGTTTATTTTATTAACTATACTGTTACTATTGTCCCTTTTCTTCCATTTATTCCTCTCCAGCCTGTAACCCCCTCCCCACCTTTCCCCACCTTGCTTCATGCCCATGGGTCATATGTATAAGTTCTTTGGCTTCTCCATTTCCCACACTATTCTTAATCTCCCCGTGTCTGTTTTGTGCCTACTATTTATGCTTGTTTTTCTCTGTGCCTTTTTCCCCATTCTCTCCTCTTCCACTCCGATTCACCTGCTGATAACCCTCCATGTGATCTCTATTTCTTTGAATCTGTTCCTGTTCTAATTGTTTGCTTAGTTCATTTTTGTTTTTGTTTTTTTAGGGTCAGTTGTTGATAGTTGTGAATTTGTTGTCATTTTACTGTTCATATTTCTGATCTTCTTTTTCTTAGATAAGTCCCTTTAACATTTCATATAATAAGGGCTTGGTGATGATGAACTCCTTGAACTTGACCTTATCTGGGAAGCATGTTATCTGCCCTTCCATTCTAAATGATAGCTTTGCTGGATAGAGTCATCTTCGATGTAGGTCCCTGACTTTCATGATGCTGAATCCTTCTTTCCAGTCCTTCTTGCCTGTAAAGTTTCTTTTGAGAAATCAACTGACAGTCTTATGGGAACTGCTTTGTAGGTAACTGCCTCCTTTTCTCTTGCTGCTTTTAAGATTCTCTCCTCATCTTTAATCTTGGCTAATGTAATTATGATGTGCCTTGGTGTGTTCCTCCTTCGGTCCAACTTCTTTGGGACTCTCTGAGCTTCCTAGACTTCTTGGAAGTCTGTTGCCTTTGACAGATTGGGAGAGTTCTCCATTATTTATTCAAATAAGTTTTCAATTTCTTGTTCTTCCTCTTCTGTCATCCCTATGATTTAGCTGTTGGAACGTTTAAAGTTGTCCTGGATGTTCCTCTCCTCATTATTTTGAATTCTCGTTTCTTCATTCTGTTCTGGTTGAATATTTATTCTTCCTTGTGCTCCAAACCATTGATTTGAGTCCCGGTTTCATCCCTGTCACTGTTGGTTCCCTGTGCATTTTCCTTTATTTCACTTTTCATAGCCTTCACTTCTTCCTCTATTTTGGGACCATATTCAACCAATTCTTTGAGCATCCTGATTACCAGTGTTTTGCATCTGATAGATTGGCTATCTCTTCATGGCTTAGTTGTACTTTTTTTTCTGAGCTTTGATCTGTTCTTTCATTTGGGCCATATTTTTGTCTCAGATCACCTGTTACGTAGTAAGGGGCGGAGCCTTAGGTGTTCCCCAGGGCAAGGCAACCCACATTGGCTGTGTTGTGTGTGGTGCTCTATGAGGGGAGTGGGGGGAGGGTCAGAGAGGGAACAGTGTGGCTTGCTCTGCTCTCTGCCAGATTTCAGTCACTTCCCTGCTACCCACAAGCAAAGTGGGCCCTTCTGGTGCTGATTCCCGGGTTGGTGGGCTTGTGTACGTTCTAGGACCCTGCGGGTCTCTCCAACGAACTCTCCTGTGAGGCTGGGAGTCTCTCCCACTGCTGCCTCAACCCCCACAGGTGTTTTCAGTCAGAGGTTTGAGGCTTTATTTCCCCGCCGGGACCCTGGGTTGTGGGTCTGTCTGGCTCCCCAGTTGTTCCTCTCCATTTATCTGTACTCGAATGTGGGACTGCCTGGTCTCCAGCTGCCACCTCGCCACGAGTCCTCTCTGCCCGGCTGCCCATCTCAGCCCCTCCTACCATCTGGGTGAATGTTTCTTCTTTAACTCCTTGGTTGTTGGACTTCCATACAGTTCAGTTTTCTGTCAGTTCTGATTATTTTTTGTTTTTAAATTGCTGTTGTCCCTCTTTTGATTGTGCAAGGAGCCCAGTGTGTCTACCTATGCCTCCGTCTTGGCCAGAAGTTCCACACATCTTCATTTACATTTCTGTCTTTGTTAGTGAAACTGGACATCTTTTCACGAGTTTATGAGGCATTGCATTATCTTTTCTGTGAGTTTCCTATCCCTACATTTTGCCCCGTTCCTATTGTACTGTTGGTCATTTTTTTCACCTTGAATTTAAGTTTGTTTAAAATACATATTAGACTATTAGTATTTTATCTTTGTTATATTGCAAATATTTCTCCCAGAGTTTTTTTTCACATTACATATGGTGGCTTTTGCCATTAAAAGCTTTCCATTTGTATGTTGTTGATTTAATCATGCTTCTCTTTTATCACACCTAGATTTTTCATTTTTATTGAATGTATCAGGGTGACACTACTAACAAAATATACAGGTTTCGATGCACAGTTCCACAACACAACTTTACACGGAAGTGTGTGTGCACCGCCCCAAATCGGGTCTCCTTCCTCACCATCGATCCCCTGCACCCTCTCCCAGCTTCCTCTCCCCCCAGCAGTCAGCACA